CGAGCCACCGTGCCATGCCCTCACCCTGCAGAGCCTGCGGCTGGCGGTGCTGCTGCAGTGCGGGCAGGGGAAAATGTGTAAGGGGCAAGAAAAACACCCAAGAAATGGGAAAAGCTGTGTCCCACAAATGGGAACTCTGCAGGAGAGGGCACTAGATATCGCCGCAGCCCAAGCAGCTGCTGGCCACCGCAGCAGAAACACCATTGCACATCCCTCCTCTCCCAGCACTCCTCCGGGAGGGATCCCCTCCTGCCCCGAGAGCCACTCACCACCACGTTTTCATCTTTAAATACATTCTCCCCACTGACTTTGCAGAGCAGCTCTGCTGGGAAGTTCAGGTGATGCTCAGAAACAAATTCAAAGACGTTATTCTTCCTGCGAGAGAGGGAACACACGGGAACACCCCGAGGCTGGCGGGAGGGGGGCATCCAGGCTCTCTAAGCACCCCAGGAACGCTCACATGCTCCCTGATTTCCCAGGACAATAACCACGCTGCCTAACCTTTGTGCTCCCACATTAATTTCTTAATAACCTTGTATATGCAGCAGCCAGTGGTGATTTGCACAAATAATCCTGGAATCAGCCCTCCACGGTGCTCACCGTGCCTTGCGGCTCCTGCGCCTGTTCACCCCTTGCTGCAGGAGGGCTCTGACACTCCCTTCCCAAAGCCGGGGCAGTTCCCAGTCTCTCGGGATGGATGGAGGCGGTGTTTAGAAAAAGGAAGGGCTTCACACAGGGCAACTGAAGGCATTTGGTATAAAAACGGAAAAGTGCTCAGGAAGCACCAGAGGGCAGGTGATGGCTTTGTGCTGAACCTCCCGAGCCAAGATCTTTTCCAGCCCCATCCGTTACCTCTGGAGCTCCCAAAGGGGAAATGCTGGAGCAGCACCACAGCCCTGGCTGTCACCAAAGCCCCAGCGAAGGAGCTCGGCCGTGGCCCCACCTCACCCATCACTCCATCTCCTTTCTGACTTTTGGTGTGACCTTGGACAACCCTTCGCCTCTGTGAGCCCTCCCTGGCTCCCACCTTGCCCCAGGGACAAGGCTGACATCCCCCCAAAGCAGAGCTGTCCCCTGAGCCCCTGCCTGGCCAAAGGCAATAAAATCTCCCCCCGCTAGCCCTTAGGCAGCCCAGCCGAGCTCCCAAGCCTTGCAGGAAGATGAGGAATAAAACCAGCTCCGCACGGCTGCCCGCGCTGCCTACCAGGTGATCACCAGCTGCTCGAAGTGCTGGAGCTTCTTCCCTCCCCGGCAGGTCGCACAGGTCTTGCTGCCCCGCCCAGAGCAGGTATTGCACCTTGGGATGCAACAAAAAGGGTTTAAACAGGATTTTAAGCACTGCCCGCTTTCGGAGGGCTGAGGTCCCGAGGGTGATGGTTTCAGGCTCTTCGCGGGGCTCAGCAGCACCGGAGCCAACGACATCCCGGGACGTGCATCTCCCCTGGTCGGTGACTCAAGGGGTGTAGCGTATCTGCTGGGAAAAACAAATGACTAATGCCAGCCTCTAATCTGTTTGTAAATGTGGATTTAGTCAAAGAATGTGTTTGTACATCTCCTTGAGGGCAATCGCAATCTCCCCACACGAGGGCAGGAAGGCGAGTGTCCCTTTGAGGACGCTGCTGTGGGTGCAGGAGGCAGATGCTTATGCACAGAGCGTTGGGACTGCATCAGTGCAACACAGATCAGCAGCGGCTAACAACTGATCCATCATCATCAGCCCCGGTGATCCATGCTTCACAATGACTGCCACCATTGTGCACGATACCATCTCTGTTATTTTAAACTTAATGGAGCCGCATAAACAAAACAGCTTCAGAACAGCGCCTTCTTTGTTTCTGTCACTTAAAGATCATTTTTAAGCCTGCTAAGTTTCATGTTTAGAAAAACCAGAGGGTGGTAATAATTCTCCTGTCTGCGCTGGCTGTGAACGCGGCCAAACCCCAGCCGTGCGCCGCGGGAACCGCACCCAGAGCAGCTCTGAAGGCTGCCAGCCCACCCCCGCCGGCTCCGCCAGCCCCATCCCATGCCCCGAGCCAGGCTGAGCCCACCGAGGCGGGGCAGGGGGACAGCAGGGACCTGGGGAGACTCAGCACCAGCTCCTGAAGGTCTGAGCAGCTCTGCTTTCCCCGGGAAACCCAAAGCTTTCTCCAGTTTCCCAGAGATTCTGGGAGACGCTGCCGTCTTGTAACAGAAAGGTAAAAAGTAGGGAAGAAAGGAGACCCAAAAAATTACTGTTTTCCAAAAGCTTCAGAGCTTATCTCTAGGTTTGGGATACCAGCTCGGCTTCTGAACGCTGAGGATGAGCAATAGATGCTAAAATGAAAGTTCATTAAAAAATATGGGGGGAAGGCTATTTCTAACCCTTTTTTCCCTGAGAATAAAGGCACCGTGCACTGCTTTCTCTATTGGGTGATCTTCACTGAAGAACACAAAAAAGCAGGGGGGCACACGGAGCCTGCCCCGTGCCAGCAGCACCCAGGCAGAGCTGTTCTGGCTCAGACAGGCTGGGTTAAGGGCTTTTTTTTCCCCCCCACCATCTATTTTCCTCCCCCTCGCAGACCCTCAGCTGACAGCCTCCCGCAGGCCGGTGGGGCTGGGACGGGGGGTTTCCAGTGACCGCACCGCGGGGGAGCGCACACGGAGGCA